GGGTGGGATCCGGGATGGGGATGGGATGGAGGCGGGTGGGATCTGGGATGGGGATGGGATGGAGGCAGGTGGGATCTGGGATGGGGATGGGATGGAGCCCGGGCAGGGCAGCAGCCCATGGAAACTTCCAGCCTCTGCAGTAACTCCTGGGGGTGGGAAGCTGGGGGGGCTGGCAGGGACCCCCGGGCCCACCGGGGCCAAGCCTGGAGCTGCCCGGGATCCCACCCAGCCTCGGGACCACCCCTGCTGTGCCCTGGAGCACCGGCTCCTCCTCTCCGTGGGGCCCATGTCCCACCCCAGCCCCGGGACACCCCACCCAGGGACACCTCCCATCCCAAGGGACCCCCTCCCACGGTGTCCCCTCAGGTACCGACCCCCCGAGGCTCCAGCCAGCGTCACCCCGGGGTGCTGAGCCGTGGGAGGAGGGACCTTGTGCTGGATCCCACGGGATCCACGGGGGAAAAGGGGGCGTTGGCACCCCCCACCCCACTGGAGGCTGCTCCCCCCCAGTCCCAGGGGATGGTGCCCTCCACAGATCCCCTTCCATGGGAAGAGCCCCCACCTCCCGCAGAGGCTCCACTCCCATCCCTGTGCCGGCAGCTCCGGATCAGGGACCCCCAGACATCCATGGGGGTGGGCAAGAGGGGACTGAGGGTCTGGCCCCCCCTTGATGGGCAGAGCTCACAGGGAGGGCGGGGGTGCTGTGCCCTGGGCAGGGACACCCCGGCAGGGAGCGATTCCGGAGCCTCCCCATCCTTGTCACTGCCCAAATCCAGGAGCAGCCGAGCCCAGCGGGGGGGGCAGAGCCACATCCCACCACATTCCCACAAACCTGCCTTGGATTTGGCTTCAGCAGCAGCAGAGGGTTGGATGAGGGGCAGCAGGGACTGACAGACAGGCAGACAGACAGGCAGACAGTGATGGCTCCTTGGCCTCCGAGGAGAAATCCGGCACCAACTCCCTCTGCTCCAGAAGAACCGGCGGCTGCTGCCGAGTCCGTGTTTTCCTGGGAGAGTTACTCAAAATATTAAAGGTAAATTAAAAGACCTGGAATTGCAGCCACCGTTTGGGGCATTTCCAGAGCAAATCGGTGTGAGCTCTGTCTGTCCATCCTGTGAGCTGGGGAGGGATCTCATCCCAAATCCCTTCCCTGCCCTGTTCAGCGATGGGAGTGGAGCTTTGCTTATGGATCCCCCCTACTGTGGGGCCCCCAAAAACCCACGGGAGGGGATTTGCTCCCCCATTCCTGCCCCATGCTCCTGCCAGCACCGGGCTTTGGCTACCCATGCCATGGGGAGCCCTCAGCTCAGTCCCACATCCCAGCTCAGTCCCACATCCCAGCTCAGTCCCACATCCCAGCTCATCCAGCTGGCAGGTCCTGGAGCCTCCCGGAGGCCGTGGAGCAGCCCCACGCCAGCACCTTCCTCCTCCCATCCTGCACCCACAGGGGCACCCCGGGAGCAGGTGCCAGGCTGGGCTGTGGCCCTGGACCCCACGGGGATGGACGGACAGACAGAGGCTGAGGGGAGGCACAGGTGGGCTCTGATTCCCACCTTCCCAGTTCCTTCCCATCAGCTGAGCTCTGGGAATCACCTCATCCCACACCCAGTGATGATCCCCACGGACACCACCCCTGGGTAATGGGGGGAGGCCATGGCAGGGGCAGGATGAGCCGGGCCAGCACTTCCCCACCAGCTTCTGTTCCTCCCATCGCCTCTCCCTGGGCTGCCTTTGCCTCCCTCCTCACCCAGGTACCTCAAACCACCCTTTTCCTATTTTTAAAAAATAAACAACTATTGGAAAAGTGCAAAGAAAATGGAGAATTGAATCAAAGAGCCGGGGCTGAGGTGGATGTTTCCTGCCCTGGCTCAGGCACCGCTCCCCTCAGAGCTCTTCCCTCTCCCACAGCACCCTGGATGCTGAGCCCGAGCCCAGGGCCGAGCCCAGCTCAGCCGGGCGGGGTTTTAGGGCTTGGCTTTGCCCTTGATCCGGGCTGGCACCGCCCGGGCCGGCTCCGAGGTGACGAGCCCTGATGTGACACCGAGCGCTGGAGGAGCCGCAGCCGCGAGACTCGGCGTCGACCTTCAGCCTCCCCCTGCTCAGCCCGAGAACATCCCACCCCTTCCCGCAGGGAGCGAATTCCTCCCCCCACGGATCCGTCACACGCCGAACCGCTCCCGACACCTGGCTGAGCCCAAAACCGCCGGAATTCCAAGTCCTCCAAACAGGAGCCGCGTTTGGGATGGCACGAGCAGCTCGGGGTGGGGACGCTGGAGGCACAAAGACCCGGATCCACAGGGATGCCCTGTGCTGCTGGAGCCGGGATCTTCCCAAAAAACCCTCCCGGCCCGCCCAGGGAGCGGTGCCTTTGGCTCTGCAGAGGCAGAGCTGCCTCGGGGAGGGGGCAGAGTCCCGGTGTCCGAGGGGTCCCTGGCTGTGCCCTGGCTCCTGCTCTCCCACACACGGCCATTCCCGAGCCACGGAGCCCTGAGGCTGCACAGGGAAAAGGTGGGAGAGGTTTAATAATCACCTGTCACGGCTCTGAGCTGCAAAGAGCGAGGAAAACCCTGAGGAAAGCGGGACCGAGAGGCTTCAGGGGGAAGAGACGGCGGGAGCTGCATCCCAGGGGTGTCCCAAGAATGAAGCACTGAACCCCAAGGGTGTCCCAAGAAGCAAGCACTGCATCCCAAGGGTGTCCCAGGAATGAAGCACTGCATCCCA